GATTAATCACGATCCTGCTTAAAGCGCTTGATGTAAAAGCTGATTTTGGAAAACAGATTGACTTTAGGGTGTAGAGGGTTCGATAAGAAGGGATTTTTGGAAACTCGAATTCTAAGGGGGGTGAAACTTATCGTTCGTGTATAATTAATCCCTATTTAGCTAGCTTGGTTTCTCTTCTAATGCTTCTAGACGTGTGGGGAAGTATACGACAACGACCTTCACTCCCCGCGGACTCTCGCTGTTTTGTTGAATAAAGAAAAACAGCACACGTGTGAGTTGTTTACGATATTAACTACCCGACTTAAAAATAACTTCATGCTGTAGATACCACATTTTATAAATTGCATAAGTTTAAATGTTATATAGAATGTTTTCCATAATACTTCAGGCAAAGGTGTTAACAGATAAGTGAATTGGCTAAAGAATGTGTTTGTCTTGAAAAAAGCATTTTCAAGAATGAAATTTCTTGAAAAAAGCATTTTCAATTTTAAAATTTTCTGCTTTTCTTTTAAATTTCCCTGTATATTTTTCGAAAACTTTTTAAAACTGCCTGTTCACCGCAAATTTTCCCACGGTATAATTTCTTAATCTCTGATATTACCATAGTTACGGCAATAAAAGGGATGCAAATACAAGAAAAATCCGGTGGAAATCTTAAAATTTTTTCAAAAAATCAATTTTATTTAAATTTTCAAACTTAAATAACTCGGTAATTTTGGACTTATCTGAAAAATGGTAAAGAGAAAATATTTTTCTTTTATCGAGATTTACCAGCCCTGAAAATATTTGCACTTATTTAAGACTCACCCTGTATAATTAAGTGATAATTCATATTTACATGAATTGAAAAAATACAAGTTTCTAATACATTAATTATACAAACGGTGCAAGTGGGCATTAATAAAGTCAACCCCACTCCTCAGAATTTAAAGTAGGAATAGATAGCAAGTGTATAGTAACTTATGAACCCTCATTAATTAAAATCAAAAGTTTTATATAAAAATATATTAAAAGATGGTGGAGATATTGCGTTTTTAACAATTTAACAATAACTATCATTCAAAAATTTTGTTTAGTTCTTATATTTGTTTTTTTCAAATTTCATAATAGAAACACATATACATATAATGAAATATAAATGTCCAGGTTTGTTGTGGTGATATTATTTTTTGCGATCTGGGGACACACTTTTGCTTTTATCCGCTTTCGTATAATATTTACCTTGATAGAAGTCCTATGGGGTTGTTCAGGGTATTAAGTTCTAGTAAAGGCCTAGAATTATTTTCATCAAGGATAAGGTCAATATTATTAAATGAGCCTACTTTAACTTGCTATCGAACGTATATGTTAAGCTAACTAATTAAGTTGTTTTATAAATGTTCTTTAATATACTAGTTAATAGGTATACTAAAATCTAATTCATGAACATTTATAATGTTTTTCTAAATAATATTCTAGTCAGGCAATCGAGTTTGATTGAAACATTACTCAAATACTCAACTAGATACTCTGATAGAATTATTGTATTTCCTAATAAGCAAAAACCTATTATTTAGAAATCCATGGCCGTAACTATGAGTTTAACCCCTCCACCGATTCCACAATATAGAGAAATATTTTATTTCAAACTCTCAATTTTGCTAAAGATATTTATAAAATTCTACTTTCCGTTTGTGGTTAAATGTGGTTTATAGTTTGTCCAATTTTTATATTGCAATTATATTTT